CACACACTCACATATACACACACACACACACACACACACACACACACACACACACACATACTCATACACACACACACACATAAGCATTAAACTGAGGACAGCTCAGCTAGTCACATTTAGCCGAAAATTGCCGTTTTGAATTCAGAAAAGGTCATTTGTGTGATTTACGCATGCAGCGAGTTTTTGAAAACTCGTCAGTACAAAACAGCACTGAACTTTGACAAAAAGGTGATTTTCTAATGTCTAAATGTAAATCCAAAAGCAAAACGTGAAAACAACTGTATTGGAAACGGTACATGAATGAACGAGCGATCCTCTGCAGCCCTCTACTGGTCATAGAGGTAATATCATGACCTTTTCATTTTAAAGGAACAGTTCACCCAAAAATGAAAGTCATAAAGTCATATACACCTAGGATGGCTTGAGTGCGAGTAAATCGTGGGCTAATTTTCATTTTTGGGTGAACTATCCCTTTAAGTGTTAGTTTTCAGCCAGGGACCTGAGTATAGAATAAGTTTATTAATAGGGCCCGTAGTATATGATGGTATTATGCATATATGTATTTGCAATGTGCATTTATTTACGTCTTTCATGCGCTATGAATTTTTGGATTTTGTTTACATTAAAATGTGAAGATTTAAAAAGCGTGCTGCCACAGTGGGTGCCTGATTAGCCTTTTTTGATTTATGTACAGTATGACGACAATATTATACACTGTAATTGATTATTTATAATACATTTCTATTAAATTACCATTATAAAAAAAACTGTTTAAAATTACCATTCTATATTTTAATAAAAAAATCTATCAGTTTGGACACGCCATGTTATTTATAATAATAAAATAATAATAAATTGCTATTAAATTACTATTATAAAATAATTTTAAATTACTATTATAAAATATTTTTGTAATTAAAATAAAATTACGTGCAGAATTATACGAAGTAATTTATTACGTATACTAAATTCCTATTGTAATAAAAATTTTAAATTACTATTCTAATATTAATTTTAATAAAATTTAAATATATGTATGGTATGACACTATTCAATGTAATATGTTATTAAAAATTGCTATTAAAACTATTATAATTTTTTTTAATTACTAATCTATTTTATAAAAAAAAATGAAATCAATATATATGTATGGTATGACACTATATAAAGTAATTTATTTATATTAAATTGCTTTTAAATGACCATTATAAAAGTAATTTAAAATATAGAATAAAAATATACATACATCAAAATGACACTGTACAATGTAAAATTACTGCAAATTACAGTTAATATACTATTATATACACTTTCTAATAATAAAAGTAAAAAAAATAAAAATATATGTACAGCACAATGACAGTTTAATGTAATTTATTATTCTGCTTCTGTTTAATAAAAAAATATGTGACACAAAAGACAGCAGTTTAGAGTTACACAGACCTTGTTTTAATACAGACGGTTTCACTGTACAGTAACAAGTTATTTACAGTCTTAGTAAAGGCCTATTTACAAAAAATAAAAACTAATAAAAAAACAAAAATCAGACATGGACAGCGTCACATGGATGTAAGTTATAACTTAACAATAAAATAAATATTTAACAGTCAGAGAGATTGGATGCCCCTGGAGTCCAAAATTACATGATATGAGTCTGATTCGACTGTAAGACTGGATGTGAAAGAGAGAGAAACACACACACACACACACACACTCACGCTCACCCTCACGCACGCACGCACGCACGCGCACACACTCACTCACAATCTCACACACTCACAATCTCACACACACTCTCACTCACTCACAATCACACACACACTCAATCTCACACACACACTCACTCACTCAGCATCACACTCACAATCTCACACACACTCTCACTCACTCACAATCACACACACACTCAATCTCACACACACACTCACTCACTCAGCATCACACTCACACACACACAATCTCTCTCTCACACACACACACACACTCACTCAGCATCACACACTCACAATCACACACACACTCACAATCTCACACACACTCACAATCTCACACACACACACTCACTCAGCATCACACACACACACACACACAATCTCACACACACACTCACACACACACACACACACACACACACACACACACACACACACACTGTGTAGACTCAAACACACATGAAGTGCGCAAAGCAGTTAAAGGGTAAAGACAGTGTTTGTCTCAGACACAGTCAATGTCCAATCCCAGAAGAGTTTGTAAAAAAAGCATTTAGAAACAATAGAAAACATTTCTATCTGTTGTCAAGGCGACTGTGACTTTGTAAGTTTGTACGGCATTTGAAATAGTATTCCATGTCGTGCCCTAACCAGGCACGATGCAACGAGCTTCCAGCCGCAAGTCCAGCATCTGTCCACACTTGTGCTGCTGACCCCAAACATACCTCAATACTCTGCCGTCGATGCTCTTTTAAAGTCAATATCTGAGATCTATCTGTAAAATACCTGTTGTAAAGGAATGTTTCATGTTAAAAAGTAATTCTCTCAATGGACGTATATTGACTTCCACAGTAAGATACGGTAGATATAGCTTAACTTTGGCGTTTGGTTTCCGTCAAGTGTTTATCATCAACATTTACTTCTCCAAACCACACATTTAGTCTGAAAGCAGTGCATACTGGGGCTGAACCTCCACTCATGCTTTCACTCAGGTCCAGATCAGTCCAGCATCTGCTGTATAATACAGGAATGGACGTGTGTTTCAGGCTGATATGCGATTCGTCAGAATGCTGGTGGAACTATAAGGCATCGAGGAAGAGGATGGGCGGAGCGGGGCAAAGCGGAGCGTTTGATTGGTCGAGTCTGATAAGTCAATACAGCTGATTGTCACAACAACATGTTAAAGTTCTCATGACGCTGTCACCTTCCCAAACCTAGTGAGCTCCCTACTTAGACAGCATTTTAAGGCATCACACACTTTTAACATACCGTCTTTAAGCCAAATCCTAAGGTAGCATCGCATGTATGATAAAATAAACAAAAGAAGAGAAATTATGAATATTATTCATTCAATGCTGGAATGAATCAATGAAAATAGTTCAATACAATTTAAAAAGTGTCTGCTGAATGCATAAATGTAAATATTTGGGTGGGAGACTTATTTATTATTTTATTGCTTTCAAATAATTACAATGTTTATTTTATGTTTTATTCTATTCTATTGCACTTTGGATAAAAGTGTCTGCCAAATGCATAAATGTAAATATTTCGGTGGGAGACATTATGTTTTGCACATTACAACTCATCTTCAATCAAAAACATTTTTTTTCAATTTTGATCAAACAATTAAAAATTATTGTTTTACCTTAATTGAATTTATTTTATACATTCAATGCAATGTAAGTTTCTTTGGATAAAAGTAAATATTTAGGTGTGAGACACTGGCTATTATTCTTTGCACATTACAACTATAATTTTAGAATTATATTTATATTAATTATTTTTATTTTATTTTATTTTAATGCAATGCAATGCAAGTCCCTTTGGATAAAAGCATCAGCCAAATGCATAAATGTATCTTGTATTTTGCTCTCATCTGAGGATCAGTCGGACTGAAAATCTTTCGAGAGTCTCTGGTGGCTCAGAAAGCAGGCAGTAGACAAAGGCAGCTCACTGAACAGAGCCACAGAGCTTCAAGACAACATGAAACAGCATTCACCACACCTTTCATTTTTAAAATGAAATTGAATATTTAACAAAAAAAATAATGGAGGGCGGGACATACTGTTATCCATGGGATTTGATTGGATCGTGAAACGTGGGGTTTGAGATTATTGGTTGATATAATTTTTAGGCCTTGGTGACCTCAGCGGAAATGAAAAGCTGCTTGAGAGGTGGAGGAAGTTATTCAGTTTTGATGGCAGATTTAGAAGACAAACATTTGTTACTTTAAGAAAGTGAAAGTATTTCCAAGAAAAAAGGCTGAGTGTGGATTTCATGTTGGCTGAATGGTGATTTGCTCTTCAAAGTCTGTGATATTGGTACGACCCTCTGATGGCTCTTGATAAATCTCCCCCTTCTAGCTAGTAAAATAGCTTCCCCCAAAGTGATGTCACACAGGTGGAGAACAGAAGGCACTGTGATTGGTCGAGTCGAGTGGCGGAGTATGGCTGCTTTCAGTCGTGACTGAGCATTTGATTGGCCGGGTGAGTCACGTCCGAACGAGGCATCTGATTGGCTGCGGAGTGTTTAGGCTTCGCTGGCTGTGCTGTTTCGACTCAAATCCCTGATTCCCTGCAGGATCCGCTTCATATGGCCGACTTTAGTAACTCCCAGATCCTGGCACACACACACACACACACACAGACAGACACACACAAACACAGACACACGCACAGACACACACGCACAGACACACACGCACAGACACACACACACGCACACACACACACACGCTCACACAGACAACGCTCACACACACACACACACACAC